GAAATAAATATGACATGGTTCAAAGCAAAGCACTTATTCAGGTAGTCCTCAACTTACGACAATTGGGACCAGGACTTCAGTGGCTAAGTGAGGCAGCTGTTGTGCTCAATTTTATGATAGTTTTTGCTGGGGTCATTAAGTATGCAATTGCCTCCTTCCTAGAGCTGAGAGGTGATGTAAGGTCACCCAGATGATTTTCATGCCTAAAACAGGACTAGAACTCCCCGTCTCCTGGTGATTGGCCCAAAGTCACCCAGCTGGCTTTCATGGCTAAGTTAGGACTAGAACTCCCGGTCTCCTGGTGATTGGCCCAGAGCCACCCAGCTGGCTTTCATGCCTAAGGCAGGACTAGAACTCCCCGTCTCCTGGTGATTGGCCCAAAGTCACCCAGATAGCTTTCATGGCTAAGGCAGGACTAGAACTCCCCGTCTCCTGGTGATTGGCCCAAAGTCACCCAGCTGGCTTTCATGGCTAAGTTAGGACTAGAACTCCCGGTCTCCTGGTGATTGGCCCAGAGCCACCCAGCTGGCTTTCATGCCTAAGGCAGGACTAGAACTCTCCGTCTCCTGGTGATTGGCCCAAAGTCACCCAGATAGCTTTCATGGCTAAGGCAGGACTAGAACTCCCTGTCTCCTGGTGATTGGCCCAAAGTCACCCAACTGGCTTTCATGCCTAAGGTGGGACCAGAACTCACCAACTCCCAGTTCCCAGCCTGGTGCCTTAACTGTGACATCAAACTTCCCCACAATTAAGTTGGTTAAAACAAAGCTTAAATTAAATTGTAAGAGGAGAGCCCTGTCAGTCTACATAGCAAAAACTCAAGAGGTTTGGCCCCAGATTTTTCTTAGCAGCTGATGAGGCAAACTTCCTTTGAACAGAATTTGATCATCGGAAAAAGTGCTACCAGATTTCTGATATCTTTTTGCCCTTGACAAATCTAAGATGTGTGGACTTCAACTCCCAGAATTCCTCATCCAACAAGCTTTAAGATGGGTGGACTTCAGGGATCTTCAATTTTGACAATTCTAAGAGTTGTGGACTTCAGTTTCCGTAATTTCCTAGGCAGCATGTTTTAAGAGGTGTGGACTTTGGTGTTTCTCAGCCTTGAACTCTTAAGACATGTGGACTTTAACTCCCAGAATTCCCCAACCAGCCTGTTGGCTCTGGAATTCTGGGAGTTGAAGTCCACACCTCTTAAAGTTGCCAAACTCTGAAACACTCTTCTGGAGAGTCCCTGTTGGAGCAGGGGGTCGGACTAGAAGACCTCCAAGGCCCCTTCCAGCTCCGTTATTCTATTATTCTACAGTGCAGTAGCCTAATCTGGAGATCACCAGAGCGAAACCAGCTGAACTCCGGCACAAATCCCAGCGAGCCAAAAGGGATTGAGCAACTTTGAAAGTCCAGTCTCCTCACCTGGGTACACTTCATTTCTGAGATATGAATCATGTTGATGTTGACGATGAGATCCAAAGAGTTGGGACGCAGACCTCCCCAGGTCTCCCAGCTCTGAGATGAGTCCAGGTAGATGGGCGGTTTCACGTTTGAGAGGTGGAGTGTTTTGATAAACGCCGAGATGCTACGAAGAGAGAGAGAGAGAAAAGAGAATCCGTTGACCGGTCCCACCATGTTGCAGAAGACGTTGGTGGAATCTCTAGGTTGGAAATGTGGGCAGTAAATATTTGGGAGGGGGTATTTCTCCACCGAAGCAAGTTATGGCTGGGTAGACCCAGATCTCCTTCAGGAGAAGGACCAGAGAGATGGACTTCTGAGTTAATAACGGCAAGCCAAGCAATGCAAGGCAGGTTGACCTGACATGTCACTTGACTTCCTCCATTCAGAGTGATTACCATTCCCCTTGGAGTTTGGGTAACATTCTCCCATCAGAGTTCTGCATTTATTATTCCTCTTTGAAGGAAAGCACTTAATGGCTTAAGAAGAAGTGTTTCTGAAACTGACCCATCTCCAAAACCTAAAAGCAGGTTGGTTCTCCTTTCCATCCCTCTTTCAAATAATCTAGTAAACCGTGATAGAAAAGAGTATTTGTAAGGGTTGAATTGTGGGATCCTTGGTGCTCTTTGAGCTTGCAGACGTTTCATGACCAAACTAGGTAACATCATCAGTGCTAGAAGGGAGTGGGTTTATGGAGTAGAACAGAAGGGAGGAAGAGGAAGAGGAAGAGGAGGATGGGAAGAGGAGGACTGTGGAGTCCTTGGTGCTCTCTGAGCTTGGTGGTTTTCTTGCAGACGTTTCATGACCAAACTAGGTAACATCATCAGCACTGCTAATGAAACATCTGCAAGAAAGCCACCAAGCTCGCTCGCCCGCCCCCCCAAAAACCCCAGTAATCAAAGAATCCCAAAGGAGAAGCCCACGCATCCCACCAACTTTGGCAGGGCAAAGAGTCCAGAGAAGAGCAACAAAGATGATTAGGGGACTGGAGGCTAAAACATATAAGGAACGGTTGCTGGAATTGGGTATGTCTAGTTTAATGAAGAGAAGGACGAGGGGGGACCTGATAGCAGCCTTCCAGTATCTCAGGGGCTGCCCCAAAGAAGAGGAAGTCAAGCTATTCTCCAAGGCGCCTGAAGGCAGGACAAGAAGCAACGGATGGAAACTAACCAAGGAGAGAAGCAACCTAGAACTAAGGAGAAACTTCCTGACAGTCAGAACAATTAACCAGTGGAACAACCTGCCTCCAGAAGCGGTGAACACGCCAACACTGGAAGTTTTTAAGAAGAAACTGGACAGCCATTTGTCCGAAATGGTCTAGGGCAGTGTTTCTCAACCTTGACAATTTTAAGGCATGTGGTCTTCAACTCCCAGAATTCCACAGCCAGCATTGCTGGCTGTGGAATTCTGGGAGTTGAAGTCCACATGCCTTAAAATTGTCAAGGTTGAGAATCACTGGTCTAGGGTTTCCTGCCTGAGCAGGGGGTTGGATTAGATGACCTCCAAGGTCCCTTCCAACTTTATCATCATCATCATCATCATCATCATCATCATCATCATCATCATCATCATCATTATTATTATTATTATTATTATTACCGGGGAGCAACACCTGACGGGTCTTCTCCGGGGGGTTCCCGAAACCTCTGCAAGCCCACCCACCAGCTCAGAGAGCCCCCAAGGCTTGAAAGATTTCGAAAGGGGGGGGATTCTCCCCTTCCTCACCCCGGGCCAACGGCAAGAGGAGCCAGAGGGGCGCGTGTGCAGACCAGGGCTGCCTTGCTGGAGAAGCCCACCAGCACTGGAGGCCAGGCAGGGGATGCAGAGGTGTGGGTGGGGGGGCTTCTCCCCCCCCCCCGCTTAAAGCTCCCCCCCTCCCAAGCCCCTCCTCACCTGGCCAGGGCTTGGGGGTCCACGTCGGAAGGCTGCCACTCCAGGTTGGGCAGCGCTCGGGCGCAGTGCGCCGCGTGCACCCCGCAGCCCGAGGCCACCTCCAGCACCTGCAGGCGGGGCTGGGCGCCCACGTAGCCCCGCAGGACGGCCAGGATGGGCTCCTTGTTGCGATCCGCCGCCGAGCCGAAGCCCCTGTTCATGGCTGCCGGGGGGGGGGGGAGGAAGAAGCGGGGCTGCTGAGCCGGGGGCGCAGCCGGGTCTCCCGACGCCCACGACCGCTCCCCCCGGCTTTGGGCAGCCCCCCAGCCCAGCCCAGCGCAGTCCGGCAGGGATCGGGCGCAGGAAACGAGGGCTGCGCGCCTCCAAGCGCCGAGGACGGCTGGAGAAAGCGGGGTCACCAGCCTGGGGGGGGGCACCCAAGCGGCGGTTCTCGCCCACCTTGCCTTGCCTTGCCTTGCCTTGCCTTGCCTTGCAACGGACGCACGCCAAGCAGGAAAGACTACACTTCCCAGAAGGGAGTGCGGCGAGGACCCTCCCCGGTGATTACTGGCTGGCTCTGAAGGGGCGGGTCCTGGTTTTCCGTTTCTGGGGGGGGTGGGATGGAGGAGGAGGGGGGTGGTGGAAGAAACGCCCCCACTTCCCATTGCTCCCTAATCCAGGGGTAGGCGACCTGGGCTCTTTTAGGACTGGTGGACTTCAACTCCCAGAATTCCTGAGCTCAGGAATTCTGGGAGTTGAAGTCCACCAGTCCTAAAAGAGCCCAGGTCGCCTACCCCTGCCCTAAGCTATGCAATAGTGGCCACAATCTGTAGCATCGCAAGACCCGCTGACCCTTATAAACAGAAGAGCACCGACCTCCCCTAAAAGCTGAAGATGTTACCTAGCCTGGTAACGAAACGTTTGGAAACTAACCCGCAAGCTCCGAGAACGAAGCGTCCCCCTCGCCCTAATCTATGCCGTGGGGACTAGCCTTATCAATGCCTCTAGTCTTTCCTTTAAAAACAAAAGCAAAAAAACCAGCCAGGGGGCTGCAATGGGAGTGTGGGACTCAGAAGCCAAGGCGCTAGTCCTCAGGAGGCTTTGGCATTCTTGGCCAGAGCGGGGAGGCTTGTTCCAAGGGAAGCACTCTCTGAAGCCTGCAGGAGAAAGCCCTTTTCTTACAAAAGCTTTATTACAAACAAACAAACCCCAAAACAACCAAAGGGGTGGGCTGCAGGAACACCAAAGGAAACCGCCTGTGAAATTTGCACGTGTTTTGCAAGGGGAGGGAGCGAATGCGTGGGAATGCGGAAGAGGGGAAAGGCGGTGCTGCATTGCGCTGTGCAAAGAAGGAAGATTTTGCAAAGGTTTTTTGTTTTTTTTTAAAAAAAGGGGGAGAGCTTGTGCGCCGCCCGGGAATCGAACCCGGGTCGCAAGAATGGGAATCTTGCATGATACCACTACACCAGCGGCGCGGTCGGCTGACGGAACCCGGGTTTGCTAAAACCCTTTTGAAATTCGCGGGCGGCCTCTCCTCCCATTGTCCTGCAATTAAATCAAAGGCAGCGATGCCCTGCAGCTTGAATAAGGCAGGAATGGATGCTTGCAAGGCGTCAAAGGACTTCGCCCAGAGGCTGCATTTTTCAACCCTGAACTGGGGTGGGGGTGGGGGTGGAAGGGCCAGAATTCCCCAGGAGACAGTTGGGAGCAGAATTGGGGTGGCTAACTTATATGCAGAGCACATCATGAGAAAGGCAGAGCTAGATGAATCAAAAATTGGAATTACGATTGCAGGGAGAAATATCAACAACCTAAGATATGCAGACGATACCACTCTAATGGCAGAAAGTGAAGAGGAATGAAAGAGCCTCTTGATGTGGGTGAAGAAGGAGAGTGCAAAAGTTGGCTTGAAACTCAACATTAAGAAAACCAAGATCATGGCATCCGGCCCTCTCAGTTCCTGGCAAATAGATGGGGAAGAAATGGAGGAAGTGACAGATTTTATCTTCCTGGGCTCCAAGATCACCACAGATGGGGGACTGCAGCCAAGAAATTAAAAGACGCTTGCTCCTGGGGAGGAAAGCTATGGCAAATCTAGACAGCATACTAAAAAGCAGAGACATCACCCTGCCAACAAAAGTGTGTATAGTCAAGGCCATGGTTTTCCCAGTTGCAATGTATGGCTGTGAAAGTTGGACCACAAGAAAGGCTGAGTGCCAAAGAATGGAGGCCTTTGAACTCTGGTGCTGGAGAAGACTCCTGCGAGTTCCCTGGACTGCAAGGGGATCGAACCGGTCAGTCCTAGAGGAGATCAACCCTGACTGCTCTTTAGAAGGCCAGATCCTGAAGTTGAAACTCAAGTACTTTGGCCACCTAATGAGAAGGAAGGACTCACTGGAGAAGAGCCTGATGCTGGGAAAGATTGAGGGCAATAGAAGAAGGGGACGACAGAGATGGAGGTGGCTGGATGGAGTCACTGAAGCAGGAGGCGTGAGCTTCAATGGACTCCAGAAGATGGTAGAGGACAGGAAGGCCTGGAGGAACGTTGTCCATGGGGTCGCGATGGGTTGGACACGACTTCGCAACTAACAACAGCAACAACAACAAAGCATGCTGGCTGGGGATGGGAACCATTGCAGTTCTGCTCCCAACTGTGGTTGTAAGTCGAGGATCATCCATAATAAAAAAAAAACAGTTTGTGTGATGTCTTGGATTCATTTTATCTTGCCGCAAAACAGAACGATGAAGAGGCGCAGATGTGCCCGGCTTCAAGCAGAGCCTGTCCATTCCCCGAGATAATCTTCCAGCACAATTCTTCTCACCTATGACCCAGACATTAAATCCATTTGTAGGTCAATCCTTAACTTAAGCAAGATGGGTTTGCAGCAGGGCACGGACTTTGCACACCCAGAGGGTGCGTTTTAAGGACGGAACGCCACAGATCTCTCCGAGGAAACATTTTTCAAACACGTATCTTTATTTATTTATAATTAAGGAACATGTTCTGGAGTTGTGGCTGTGTTGCAGTTTTTGGAATGGAGTTACAGTGTTTCCTTAGCACTCAAAAGGCTTCCTGGGTTTATTAACCTAAGAATTTTTCAACCCTTTTTAAAGTAAGCTGGTTTGTATTATTCCCTGCAGCAAATGCAAGGGTGAAATTGAATCCCTGCAGTATTGTTGCTTAGAAACTGGATGTGCCATGGTATTAATCACTGAGTACATCTTTCTTTTTTTCTTTCTCTCTCTCTCTTTCTTTCCTTCCTTCCTTCCCCTTTCTTTTGTTTCTTTCTTTCTTTTTCTTTCCCTTTCCTTTCTTCCTTCCTTCCTCCTTTCTTTCTCTTCTTTCTCTCTCTTCTTTCTCTCCCTCCCTCCCTCCCTCCCTCTCCTTTTTTTTCTCTTTCCTGCTTTTTGTAGTTTGTGTGTATGTTTTTATGTTCTTTGTAAATCCTTTGATAAGATCTGTTTTAAAAACATTGACTACTTTGGTTTTTGAAAGAAGGGGCCTCAATCTCAAAGTCTACAGTTAGATGAAAGATGAGGGATCGTAAAAATTAAAAAGCTCCTTTGCATCCATTCCTATTATTAGCTTCTGCAAAATGAAGAAACAACAGCTTTACTAGAAGGCAAGAGAGGTAGGGTAGCTGCAAGGAGAAATTTAAATTTCTCCCCAAATTAGTTTTTTTATTATTTAGATTTTTATCCCACCTTTATTATTTTTATAAACTTATTCTCTTCTCTTCTCTTCTCTTCTCTTCTATTCCTAATTCTATTCTATTCTATTCTTCTCTTCCTAATTCTCTTCTCTTTTCTTCTCTTCCTAATTCTATTCTATTCTATTCTACTCTTCTCTTCCTAATTCTATTCTATTCTATTAATTCTATTTCTATTTCTATTTCTATTTCTATTTCTATTTCTATTTCTATTTCTATTTCTATTTCTATTTCTAATTCTATTCTATTCTATTCTGTTCTGTTCTGTTCTGTTCTTCTCTTCCTAATTCTATTCTATTCTGTTCTGTTCTGTTCTATTCTGTGCAACTTGGATTCTGGAGCTACGGTAAATCATTGGGCTGGACTGGTAACTGGTGCTCACTAGAGGGCACACGACCAAAGACGTCCAGCCCTCCCTCCCCGTGACGGAAGTGTTCTGCCTAGTTCATGGAGTTGGAATTCTCAAGGTCACCCGTATAACTTTGGGTCTCTTTGGAGAAGGGAACCGATCCTGTGCATCCGCCTGGAGGATCATAAGGCGTGGTTTTGTAGCAGTTTTCCACAATTTCTTTTTTTAATTCTTTTCAATTTATTAGCTTATAATACATAATGCAAAAAGGCAAAAGGAAAGAGTAGGAAAAGGGGAGGAGAAAGAGAAGGGGAAAGCATGGGGCAAGGGGGGGGAGAGAAAGAAAAGGCACTGACATTCAATTCCCTTGGGTGCAGTTGAATAAGATAATTAGCATCAAACCTCAACTTTTTACTTTTGCATAATACAAACTAGCCATTTTTATAACAACAAACGTATTAATCGGTTAAAACCCCCAAAATCAAAGTTTCATTTTTTTTTCAAGCACAAAGTCCAGAAGCAGATTCCAAGTAGGAACAAACATTTTTTATTTATTTAATGAAAGCATTCAATTGGGCCATCTCTGTTAACTTTTACAACCATTCATCCATTGTGGGACTCAAAGTATCTTTCCATTTTTGTGCGTAATCTTGCTGCCGTCAACATATATAACCAAGTCCCAAACTTTTCCGTTAAACCCAGAAGTTTGCTTTTTGACAACTTCTTAGTACGATACAATGAGCCTAGTGGATATATTTAATTCAATTAATAATAGTGAATTTTAAATTTTATGACAATTGTAAATGTTCTTTTTCACTTTCTTTTTCCTTTCATGTAGTTATTTGTTATGTTAATGTTTTGGCGGCCCAGTCATGTATGTGAAATGGGCGACCATATAAATGGAATAAATAAATAAAGAAGTAGAATAAAACATACTTCTAAAAAAGGGGGGGGAAAGACTCATGTTTTTCTTTGGTTTAGAGATCACAACAATGGTAGGTTTCGGTATGGTTCATAAATGAAACTATGTACTTATTTACAAGCTTTATAAACTACTCATTTCACAAAATTATATAAGGTATAAATATTAAAAAAATAAACGCAGAACGTAAAACATAATGCATTAAAATTTATAAGCACTCTTTATTAATATGAAAATGCAAAACGTATATATTACTTATACGCATACATTTATATATATATTATTTGCCATTATATATCTTTTGTTTTCTTACGTGCACTTTGCAATCAATGGAGGAGTGTTCCTCAATCTTGACAACTTGAAAAAGGTCTTGGACTTCAATTCCCAGAATTCCCCAGCCAGCACTCTCAAGTTGCCAAGGTTGAGAAACAATGCAACGGAGCATAACTCTGTCATAAAAGTGGCTCCTTGAGTTAAGATAATTCCACATTCTTTGCACATGTAGAAAGAATGAGGGGATAGTAGCTCAGGCCCCACCACAGGAGGAGATGCACACTTCAGGCGGATCAGAGGATTTGAGACATTTCATTTAACCAAGATCTCCTGGTTTGGAGGGAGGGATAACCCCGGGGTCTATTATAGCAGTGTTTTTCAATTTCGGCAACTTTAAAATGTGAGGACTTCAATTCCCAGAATTCCCTAGCCAGCATTGTGGCTGGGAAAATTCTGGGAGTTGATGTCCACCCACACATGTTAAAGTTGTCTGGGGGAATTCTGGGAGTTGAAGTCCACCCTTCTTAAAATTCCGAGGTTGAGAAACGCTCCGCTAAAGGGTAGCAAAGTCATGTCCTGCTTGAACGTAGAATAACAGAGTTGGAAGAGACCTTGGAGGTCATCTAGTCCAACCCGTTGCTCGAACAAGAGAGTCTACATCATCTCATCCAGCAATCTGCTCAAAATGGCCAACCAACTGGTCTCCCAGTAGATGCCCATCATAGGCAGTGGTTTTCCGGTTTCTGCAACGCAGGAACAACAACTCAAGGATGACATTTGCAGGGGGCTGCCTCGAATTCTGCAGCCAGTTCGTCTGAATGCAACTTGGGGACGTCAACAAGACAGGGAGGAGTTTGCACGCGTCAGTAGCTGCATGTTGGATGCCCTCTTGATTCTCACAGGCGGGGGAGAGAGAGAGCAGGAGAGATCCCTACAAGCACAGGTAGTCCTCGACTTACGGCCAAAATTTCTGTGGCTAAGTGTTCAGTCAGTTCTGCCCAATTTTATGACCTTGCTTGCCACAATTGTTAAGTGAATCACTGCAGGTGTTAAATCAGTAACACAGTTAAGTGAATCTGACTCTCTCCCCCCCCCTGGACCGGGACGCCTTGCGCACAGTCACTCATGCTCTCGTCACCTCTCGCCTGGACTACTGTAATGCTCTCTACATGGGGCTCCCTTTGAGGAGCACCCGGAGACTTCAACTGGTCCAGAATGCGGCCGCGCGGGCGGTGTTGGGAGGGACTCGTCGCTCCCATATAACACCGCTGCTGCGCGAGCTGCATTGGTTACCAGTGGTCTTCCGGGTGCGCTTTAAGGTGTTAGTTACCACCTTTAAAGCGCTCCATGGCATTGGACCTGGTTACCTCCGAGACCGCCTTCTGCCACAGATTCCCTCCCACAGACCGGTACGCTCCCACAGAGCGGGCCTCCTCATGGTGCCGTCGGCCAAGCAATGTAGGCTGGCGACCCCCAGGGGGAGGGCCTTCTCTGTGGGTGCCCCCACCCTCTGGAACGAACTCCCCCCCGAGATCCGGATGATTCCGGATCTCCTTACTTTCCGCCGCGCCCTCAAGACATGGCTTTTCCAGCAAGCGGGCCTGACCTAGGGAGGATTTTAGGTAGGGATTTTAGGTNGCTGTCCTTGTGGCCACATGGCTCCCAAGGGGCGGGGGGAGGGAGGGAGGTGGGGGCGGGGGGGCGAGGAGGAGCGGGGTTACCCGCCCCCCCTTTGCCCCCGCCGGGCGGCCGCTGTCGCCCCCCACCCTCCCCCCGAGCCACGTGGCTGCAAGGACAACCCCGGTGGGGAGGCGCCCGCCCGCACGTGCGCGCCGGAGGGAGGGGAATCTCCTGCCGGGGGGGGGCGAGGGGGAGTATGCAAGTGACGTCAAAGGACGTCACGAGGTGGGAGGGGGGCGGAGGGGGGTGCCTTTGCCCTAGAGTAGACAGAGAAGGCCAAGGCAGAGGAGTTGGGGGGGAGGCTGCAGGGTGGTGCAGGAGTATGAAGGAGGCATGCTAAACCTGTTGAATGCTGGCCTTCCTCGGGTGGGGAGAAGGTGCTGAGCACTGGGTGGCTGGGGCTGTTTTGCACTCTTTTGCACACTTTCGGGTGCCTTGCCACACTCGGCCTTTGCTTGTCTGGAGAGCTTGGCTTGGAAAACCCTCCCGGATGGAGAAAGAGGGATGTTGTCAAAGTTAATAGCAATAGCAACAGCACTTGGGCCAGGGGTAGGCAACCTTGGCTCTTTTATGACTCGTGGACTTCAACTCCCAGAATTCCTGAGCCAGCCTGGCTCAGCTTGGAAACCTCTCCCTTTCCCCTCAGCATGGCTGGCTCAGGAATTCTGGGAGTTGAAGTCCACGCGTCATGAAAGAGTCAAGGTTGCCTACCCCCCTGCCCTAGACCATTTCAGACAAGTGGTTGCCCAATCTCTTCTTAAAAACTCTGAGTAGCTGCTGATTTCAAAGGGTATGTCCCTAAGAGTTGCTGATGATTGCTGTGGGTAACTATCTGACTACGTCTTACTGAGCAACATACTTGTGGAAGGAATATAAGGTAGCCGGTTTCCAGGGAGCGAGTTCATTGAGAAAGCTTATTCAACAGAGGGAGTAGCAAATGTTGAACAACAGCAAGTTCAGGCTTGTATTGGTGCTTGGGGCAGGATGGTGGGCAAGAGCCTTGAAGCAAGTAGTCAAACCTTAGTTCAGGGGTAGGCAACCTGGGCTCTTTTATGACTCGTGGACTTCAACTCCCAGAATTCCTGAGCCAGCCATGCTGAGGAGAAATGGAGAGGTTTCCAAGCTGAGCCACGCTGGCTCAGGAATTCTAGGAGTTGAAGTCCACGAGTCATAAAAGAGCCAAGGTTCCTACCCCTGACTTAGACTTATATACCCCTTCACCGTGCTTTACAGCCCTCTCTAAGCGGTTTACAGAGTCAGTACTTTGCCCCCAACAATCTGGGTCCTCATTTTACCGATCTCGGAAAGGACGGAAAGCTGAGTCAACCTTGAGCCGGTCAGGAATCGAACTGCCGGCAGCCGGCAGTCAGCAGAAGTAGCCTGCAGTACTGCATTCTAAGCACTGCGCCATCAGGGCTCCTAAGTTTAAGATTGGGTGGACTTCAACTCCCAGAATTCCCCAGCCTGCATCTAGACTTAGTGTTTTTCAACCTTGACAGCTTGTAAGATGTGTTAGACACTGGCTGGGGAATCCTGGGAGTCTAGTCCACGAGACTAGACGGTACTAGTTGGATGGTTGATTACTATGTACCTCTGCAGAGGTCTTTGGTTCAAACATGCATCAACCCTTGGGTTTCATGTTATCCTGCTTGGATTCACAGGACGCACTAAACTGGAGTTGAATAGTTTATAATCCAGCCTACAGTAGAAATGCAATCTTTACTATTCAGTCTGTTGTGCTAAGTTTCGGAAAAGTTTCGGAAATAGCGTTTGTTGGAACTGGTGAGCTCTGAAGGACTAAGAGTGAAAAATTGTTTTTTACTCAAACGTGGCCCATTTTGTACAAATAGTCCTCAAGTTATGACTGCAATTGGGATCAGAATTTCCATTGCTAAGCAAAGCTGCTGTTAAATGAGTCGTGCCTGATTTTACAACCCTTTCTGCTGGTAAGTGAACCACTACCGTCATTAAATGGATCCGCTGTTGTAAAGCAGATCCATTAAATGGATCCGCTGTTGTAAAGCAGATCCAGCTTCCTGCATTGACTTTGCTTGTTGGAAGCCAGGTGGCAAAAGGGTGTGTGTGTGTCACATGACCCCCAGAATGCTGCAACCATCGTAAATATATTCTGGTTCCCAAACGCTTGAATTTTGATCACATCACTGTGAGGATGGCTGCAACGATCTTAGGGGCAAAGACTGGTTGCCAGCCACTTTGTTCAGTGCCGTTGTAACTTTGAACAGTCGCTAAACGAGTGGTTGTAATTTGAGGACTTTCTGTACAAATTACAAGCTTCACGTCTTTAATCTAGGAAACCTCCGCTTGTCTATTTGTATTTTAAACAAGTTCTGCAGCCTGAAAAATGTTTGAAAATTCCTGAAGTAGATCATAGACACCAGCATAATATTAATTGTTCACTTCTTTGGGCATTCTTGGGTCAACAAACACAACAGTTATGCATTGGGTAATCTGGGATAAATTATAGCGTATCGTGTATTAAACTATAGGTATGGGTAGACTTGTTTGTAGTAAGACATGGATCCGCCCTTGAGTTCATCTGATACTGCCATTTTCATTACACAACAGCATTAGTCTTTAATTTTGATTGTGCAATTGTAATGCTGTACTGTACTGTACTGTACTGTACAACAGTTCATTTAGTGACTGAAGTTGCAACGGCACTGAAAATAGTGACTTATGACAATTTTTCACCCTTAATGACCATTGCAGCCTCCCCAGGGTCACGTGATTTTTACATTCGGATGCTTGACAACTGACTCACATTTATGACGGTGGTGGTGTCCAGGAATCACACGATCCTCTTTTGCGACCTTCTGACAAGCACAGTGAACCAGATTCACTTAACCACCGTGTTACTAATTTAACAACTGCAGTGCTTCCCTTAACAACGGTGACAAGAAAAGTCGTAAAATGGGGCAAAACTCGCTTATAAAATTTGGGCTCAAAGGTGGTGGTAAGTTGAGGTTAAAATCCTTTCTCCACACCTCAAAGGGCCCTGAAATAGCAGACAATGTTTCCCAGCGTTTAGAAAAGCCTTTGGGTTACAAAGCAAAGTTATTACTTTGTGTCACACATTACTTGAAGCCCAGTCAGTCTTTGTTTAGTTTGT